CCTGCTAAGAGAGAACATGGCGTCTCCACTAAGACGGAGTAGCTCCTTTGTGATTAGCTCATGGCTGAATAGTTTATTTGGTGGTTAAATGTGTTTAATGTTTAATTAAATGTTAAATGTTAAATTTTACGTTAAATGTTAAATTTTATGTTAAATGTTAAATTTTACGTTAAATGTTAAATTTTACGTTAAATGTTAAATTTTACGTTATATGTTAAATTTAACGCCTTGCCGAGGACTGCCGCTTTAGTAGTATACATAAAAGCTGTCGCTGTCGTATGGAAGCTTTCCAAAGGGGCCCGGTTTTCTGCTGCCTTAGTCGTCTAAGGTCGTTTAAGTTTGGTTAACGGATTCTGGTAATGTGGCGTTACTATTGAATCGTTAGATTGCTTATTGTTTGAGTATTACATACGTGTATAGCTACAGTGGTGATGACTATAGAACGAAGCTTGAAGATTGAATTGTGAGCTCGTCGCGTTGACTGCGTAATTGTTACTAGACTGAGACTGAGATTGAGCGGGGCAAACGCAACACTTAAATATTCTCGTGGTAGTTTGCGACGCCGGTAACGATCCGGTGTCTGTTGCTATGCCGATATTTGTCGTGACGTCAATAGAGCATACCCTTGGAAGGTTCATTGGTATTATTTTTCGGAATTATAACCGTATGTTTGAATTTTCAGCGTAGAAACATTTCTCGAATTCGATGGCCCGTGTTTATAAACAAACTGACCGAGAGCTCATGCCTCTCACTTTTGTAATACGCTTTCAACTGTTTCAATCCGTAAAATTCTGGTTATGAATTATAATAGTATTGAAGCGTTGTTGGTTGCTTCTATTGAGATAGAGAATTATTCTATTGCAGTGTGCGAGTGCTTACTTGTATTCTTGGTTGTTGTTGATACTATGGAGATTATGTGGATCTTCAACGTAGATTTTATGCTGATGTTGTAGGGATCAGCGGATTAGCATGAGTTAGTCGACCATGCTCTTCATAAGCATGGGAAGATGGTAATGGTAGTGGTAATAGTAATCAATAAGGATTCGTAGAGAATGTAGAGAATTTTCTTTTTTTATTATTGCTAAACGCATTACTTTTCTCGTTCTTTCTCTATTACAAGATAGAATATTGACATGATAAAATATTTTTTAGTATTGTTCTTTTCTTATTGTTTTATTATGTTTTCATATAATTATATCCCTAAGGTTTCTTTATTAATGATTGTTTTAATTTACATTCTTCTTGAATTAACCTGAGCTTAATTATACATTTTTTTTTAGAAAAATGTTATTGAGATTAAAATAAACCTTAAAATTAAAAAAGGTAGTTATATAAAATTATTTTTTACAATTTTTTTCAAGTGATTATTCGCTGTAAATTTTATTTATTTTCGTTTTTTGTTATATTTTTTAAAAATATTTTATATTAATATTCAGTATACTAAAATACGATTAGAATTCCTCTCTTACTTTTTAATATATAAGAATATATAAAGACAGATATATGAAATACAGATTTGATAATCCAAAATTTTATTTGTAACACTACTCAAGTAGGCAAAAAAAGGTACATTTGAGAAATACATATCATATAGAAAATACCAATTTTTTTCTTTCCTTAAATAATTAATATTCTTTAATAATTATTTTATTTAACATTTATTATTTAAAGTTCTTAATTCTTATTATAGCAAAATAATATTATCTACAATAAATAATAAAGATCATATTAAATTAGAATATATATTAGTAGCAATTTAAAATCTATAATGTTTATTGAATAAATTATTTAAAAGTATGATAACTTATATGATTAAATTTTCAGGACCATTATATTTGCTATATAGTTTGATACTTATTTCTCTACCATTCCTGAGAGTGTCGGATTTATTTATTTTTTTCTCAACCATTCTTAACAATGATATGTTACCTTGAAAATTATATAACAATAATCATGGGCATTTAGTTATATTTACAATAATTACATAAGCTGATAATCATTAAAATTAAAAATTATTATACAAAGTTCAATTCGTAATCTTTGTTATACTTTAAAACTAAAATAACATTTTTTCTAACTTTTTCTAACATTTATTAAATATACATGTATACAACATACAAAAAGTAAAATTTATATGATTAAATTAAAAATATAATTTTTAACAATTGCAAATATATTTTTCGTATATAAAAATTGTAACTTTATAATGTTTATGATTTATGGTTTCAATTAGAATATATATTTTATTAAATTATTTGTATAATTAAGTAATTTTGAACAAAAGTTATTGAAAGCTATTATAATGTGAAATTATTCATCCTCATCCTCTTCGTCATTATCGTTCCAATCGTTGTTATTAGATTTCAACTGATTTGTACACAATCTCTTGCAAGAGGGTTTATTTTTATTTTTTCGATATATTTTTTCCATACTACTACATGGAGATCCACCAATTAGAAACCAAAACATAGCTGAAATTGAATATATCAAATTATTACTGTAATATTCTTATAATACTGTAAGGTGTAATAGAAAAAATATTTATTCATTTTATACTTATATTTTATACAAATCTTATACTGATTTTAAACAATATGTGTTAATTTTGATTTGTACAATAATTAGAAATTATAAGTAACGAAATATGAAAAATATTTATAAGGTATTTTACAACAGATTAGTCTTACGAAGAAACTATTGAGATGCAGACTGTATCTTTTTGTATATTTTCAATATAAACTTTTTTTATTAAATTTTTTCATACAAAGAAATATTTTAAGTTCAAATTATTGCATATTTAGATGATTTATTTTGAATGAATAACGTAAAAAATAGATTTTTTAATCGTGTTTTCATTTTTCATTATATTTAAGTATCAGTTCTATTAATGCATATATTATATAAGTTCTATCATGTAAATATTTACATTTTTTTATAAACTTTTAAATCTATTAAATTTATAAATTATTAAATCCGATACTATAAATCGATATTTCCTTTCAAAATTTTATCTGAAAATTTCACTTTCCTATCATACAAAATAATTTAGATTCTTTTGCAAACATTAACTTTTTAATCCACCATATTATATTTCACTTGTGTGTATATAAATATAACAAGTATATTTGAAATTTATATGTAAATAAGTTTTAAAATTTCCATTGTACAACAATTATATAATACTTCAATCTTACCGATTTGTATTTTTGTTTTATCATTATGTTACTTAATTTTAATTTCTGATTATATATACATACTCAAAATTCAGTCAAATATAAAATTTACATTGTTTTGTTTTTAACATTCTAAGTTTTATTATTCAATATCACAAAATTTTTTAATAACGTTAATTCTAATTTCTTAATATTCACACTATGTGATTACATATATGATAGAATTGTAATTTTAAATTTGAGAATAACATAACCGTTACATTCTAAATACTACAAAACTCTAAAAAATAAATATTTAATAAATCACAGTCAATTTCCAACTGAAAACTTAAGCTGTTTAAAATAAAAAAAGAAAATATATAAATTTGATATGGTACAGATAAGTATGGTATGATAAATATCAATATTTTATATACTTAACATATTAAAGAATTTGTTTTAATAATTCTTTAAAATTTTTAAACCAAGGCAAAATATAATTATGGATATTAATAAAAACAATAATTACTAACAATTAAAATATAAAGTTATCCATATAATTCGTAATTCTATAAAATACTTGAACCAGATACCATCTATAATTATTCTATTGCTTTTGAAAATATATAGTATAAATTATAAACTTAGTTGTAAAATTAGTCTAAGCACCTGCTCAATTTAAAAATTTGTAATTAAAAATAATTTTAGGAATGAATTATTAAATTGGTGTGTTTAAAAATAAAATCTTTGTCGTTGGCATAAATCTATTATTCTTAGAAATTGAAAACAAGTGTCAAAAATCGTCAAAAACCTTTATCAAAAATTATTAAAAACTCAATTCAACAAAATTATCTACATTAAATATATAATAAGATACACATATGCATATCCAATATAATTTACATGTACTATTAAATTAACATTTAATAAATTTTGTTATTTAAACATGGAATATAAAGTTTGATAAAAAAATTATTATACTCATAATTTGGGAGTATCACATGATAACACAAATTTTACTCATGAATTGTAATGTATATAAATTTATATTAAAATATGATTCCAGTTATTTTCTTAAAACATTTTCATTTGCAACTTTAAATTAAAGACAAAAAATTAATATTTGTTCTCATTGTATTTTCTATCAATATAAAGATTTCTTATTAATTTGTTTATAAATGATTTGAATATTATTCAAATATAATTATTAATTGCAGTATAATATAAAAAGTATATAAAGTGAATTATATAATACCTTAAGAAAAATTATTCAAAAAAATAAAAAAATGTTTTTATACTTTATAATTTATTAAGAGAAATTATAAAATATAAGTTTAGTTCTATCATCAAATTATCTAGCATGATGGCATTTTAATAATATGTTTGAATTGCACCAATTTCTATTTATGTTTATATTTTATTAATTTTTGTATTCTTCTCATTATCCATATACGATTCATTCCTTTGCAACTATCTTTGATAAATTGATCTACTTAAATTAAAATTATTATAATCACCATATATTTGGCTAAGTAGCTGCCAATTAAAAAATATTACAATTACCAGCAGGCATATATCGTGACAATACTTTTTACATAGAGTACAGTAGGATTAGGTTTTATTATCAATAACGAGGTTCACTGTTATTTCCATTAATTTCATATTTTTATATTTTCTCACTTACATCTAATATTTCTTATAAATGTTTATCTGCATTGGTATACTTGTCTAGTATAAGTCATAGTAGAATTTATAAGTTCTAGTACAAGTTCTTTGTAAGACACTACCTTTTGCGGTTTTTTTTGTAAATAAGCTGCTTTAAGCTACATCACGTATTGGTAAATAATATATAAACTTTTTAATAAATTTTTTTATGCCTCATGTTCATTATTTGAATATTAATATAGCGAATTTCATTATTCATGGTATAGAATTATAACTTATACATTTGTTATTTAAATTCTATTACATAAGTGTTCAAGATTTAATTACATTTTTATGTAGTTAATTTTTTTATTTTTTTAAGACTATTTTATTGTTTTATTAAATTTAATTTCTTGGCTACAAAAAGGAAATCAGAACATATGATAACATTGTTATAAACATCATTTGAATTATTATATTTGACTTGCAAACACATGTGATAAGAAATGTATACAATGTACCAACAAGTATCAAAAGTAATTTGTTATACCTTTTGAAAAATATTTTAAATAATATATTTTAAATATTTAATAAGAAATAGTATTACCATATTTATAGATATATCTCAAATTAATCCATTTTAATATAACTTACATTTATTGATCTATTTATTTTATTCCTATATTAATACTAATAATATTAATATTTGTGATTTAAGTAATGATTTGTTACACTGTTTATAAACTAACAAATAGTAATATAATTAAAGTAAAATTAAATAAGTTAACTAATAATAACAATAATATTATTTAATAATGATAAATCCAATTGAATAAAAATATATAGATAATAGAGAAAAATATAGACAAATTACTATATAAAATACATAACTCTTAATATATTAAAATAATAGTATATTAAATGAAAAAATATGTTCAAAGATTTAAATTTAATGTATTCCATTTCTGAAAAGAATTATTTTTATATTTGTTAAGATTAAGATAATATTAACACTATTAACAGTTTGTATCAAAACATTTTAATTTCATTTAAGTTTCAATGAAAATCATGAAAATTAATTAATATATATAAAAAATTAAAAAATTATATTAAATTAAGTTAAGTACTATATCCTATAATATAAATTCCAATGCAAAATAAACGATTTATTTAATTATATTTTTATTTTTTTGTAAATTAAAGTTTCGCTACTGGCAGTTCTTAATTTGACATCCTGTTGAAAATCATACTTAAAAATCAATGGGACAAATTAGAAAGAACTAATAAATAAATTTTTTAAGTTTTTCTTTAAAAGAGTACTATTTTTTTATTTCAGTATGTAGAAAATAAATAAAACAGTTTTCATTATTTAAAACAAATATCTATTATAAATAATTAATGCATTGTACTTGAATTTACTATTATTATAATATAATGATATATTTAAATAATTTGTTAAATGTTTTTATAATTGACTCAGTTATATAAGAAGATTAAAAACATTTTTATATGATATTAAATGATTATAATTATTCTATAAATATTGTTTACTACATTATTCAAATTCAAGTTATATTACTATTAATATTGATTTCTTTATATTAAAAAAATATTTTATTATTAAATTATAGGATTATAATAAAATATATTTCAAATATATGTATTTTTCAATATTGTCTTGCTACTAATATAAATGTTTTTGTACAAAAATTAAGAAAATTGTCTTTTCTTAACTAAAAATTAAATTTATTAATTAAATTATGATATTTAGAATCATTTGTAATATTAAAAAGAATAGTTGCTACATGCATAAAATTATATATGGTATACAAATGTACAAATTTTTTAAATAATTTAATGACTCATTTATTATTGTTACTTCATATCAGGCTCATATTTCCATTATAAATATTGATAAATATATTCTATACGTAACTTCAATTTTGTAATTTAATGAATATTTCTTTTAATTCATGTTGTATAATAGATTTATAATATATAAACTAAATTTTTTATTTTATATTACAGTCATTAATTCAATTTATATATAAAATTTATAATATTTTTGACCTATTTAAATAAACATTCAATACAATAAATATGGAAAAAATTTTCGATTTATGATAGGAAGAATGAAATCAATTTATGTATATAGGAAATTATAAATACTAAATATTAAATATTAAAACTTAATTGAAGCACATAATCATTAGAAATATTTTTTTTATATTTATATGTAGTATTTAAAATTTTTTTTAATTATTCAAAATCTTTTTAAAGTATTACTGATAATTTGTACAATTTTATTTTTGCAATATAAAGTATAAGTATTTATGAATTGCAACATTTGTTATTAATAAAAAGTATTAAAAATGGTATATACCCTAGATAATAACTTTACTTCGAATGTTTCACTTTAATTTTTTAAAAAAACATAGAACCCTATTTGTTATTAATAAATGAATGTGATTCTAATTATGAAATATTAAGTGATATACATTTTAAAGAAACTGCATATTGTGTATATTATATTATTGATTTACAATTTAACCTAAAACTACGTTTTAAATTAAATTTATATAGAAACTATAAGACACATTAGTACTCATGGAAATAACAATATTAAAACATTTGAGTTAATAGGATATAATGAAATTAACAGTTAATAGATATTTCTAATTATTTTATTTGTTATTTGCCATTAATAAAAATATAATAAAATATAGACATTTTATAATTTATTTACTTAATATTATGAAAAAACACTTATAATTTGTTACTTGTTGAATTCCTAAACATCTAGAATTTATAAATATACCTATCAATTTAATTTATGTATAAAAAAAAATTATTTCAAATATTTAGATATATGGTTATCAAAAATAATTATAATATAATAAGGAAAGGGAAAAAGAAAGAAGAAAATAATAGATTAAAAAAAGTATTATTTATTGCAAAGAAAATTGAACAATGTTTTTCTGCTGCATTCATTGGATCAGTATAAATACAAAATCAAAGTACATTAAAATGTACTTTCAAATTTATTAAAAATATATGTGTAGATGTTATTTAATAAGAAAACATAAAAATATATAGTTGGATTTATTTAGAAGAGAATATTGTTTCTAATACTTAATAAGAAAATGTGTAATGTCTAATATATATATATATTATTTACTTTAAAATATAATCCCAGACTGCTAATTAAAATTTGTTTTAGACTAACAAGTCATAAAAAATACTATTGCAATAAAATTATATTTAGTTTTAATTTAAATATGCTATTATATTCCAAAGGATATATTTTCTTGGAAAATAATTTTGATAAGTTATTTAGTTAATTATTACGCATATTATTTATAACGTATACTGCGTAAAAGTACGATAGAAATAAGATAAACTAACTTCAAATAATATTGAAAAGCGCTTATTTTATATAATAACCTTTTAAACATTTCATTATACAAGAACCACTCTTTGGACCTTTCTGTTTTCTTTTTTTTTCACATTTTTTGCAAAGTATTTGTCGTAATGTACATGCTAAATGCATCATATGATAAACGAGAAATTGCAAAATGCACAGAACAAGAACTATGAGTACTGGTAAACTAAGGCTTGTTTCCACATCGTTCAAAATCGCATGTACGGACATTGGTAGAAAATCACACATTGTTTTTTTAATAAATAAGTTTTTTTAATATTTTATTTTACTTTATTTCTTATTTAACATCACTTTTAGAAATAATTACTTTAAATTTTTTGTTTGATTCACTTATACTTAACGGAATTTATTCATACAAAAATTTAATTAAAAAATAAATAAAATATATAACGTTAGAAACAGAAAACAAATGACATTTTAATACAATATTGCTTTTGTTTACATTTATTCGATATTAATATTATTTAAATAAGCGAAATAGTCATATTTTTAAAGAAATTTAAATAATATTTCTATAAATTTATTAAACTGAATGAATAATATTGTTACAAATTATGTGAAATTCAATATAAATATTGATTGATGTATGAATATTATTCATACTTTTATATTATTTATTTGATATACTTCATTACCTAAATATATAAAATAAAATTGACTTTAAATTAGTATATAGCCTATGACTTAAAATTGAAAAATTGATTTAATAATTTCTTAAAAAATGAAAAAATTAGACGCTTAAATAACTAGTAAATACTCTATTTTTATGATTTAATATGTATTTAAATGTAATTTATTATATAGCGTATGTTTGATGATAATTTTGTATATATAACTATATATGCTTAATTTGCTTCTAGGATATTGAAGCATTGAATTTAATATCATATGAAATAATTATATTTTTTACTTTTAAAATGGTTCTTTTTATAGACTCCTAAACAGTATAGAAATAATTATGAAAATGACATTAATACATGAAAGTATGCAATATAGAGCATTTAAACTATAAGATTTTATCAAATACAATTTAATAGTATATAAAAAAAGCGTTTACTAATTTACGTAAACGTACTTCCTTTAGCGTATTCCCTATCTCTCTCTCTCTCTCTCTCTTTATATATATATATATATATATATATATATATATATATATATATATATATATATATATAGATTCAAAATCATCATTTTATTTTATAAATACGTATGCAAAAATTAAGAATTTATGTAAAAAAATGAAACTTTTTATCAAATTAAGTGAAATATAGACTTCCAAAGAGTGAAATCGAGTAATGAATATAAACTGTATGGCACCTTGACTACAATCTGTGATGAAGAATCTCAAAAACTTCAAATGTTACAATTACATATTAATTTCTTATCCAAAATGAAGTATTTTAATAAAATAAAAAACCAAATAGAAAAAGATTTTAGACACAGGTACATGACTAGTATAAGTAGGTAACTAAGGTAATTAAGCATTATATAATATGTTTAATTATTAAACCTTAATAAAAATATACAGCCTTCCTTATTATTTTATAGGGAAAATCTTTGTGCAAAATACATAATATAGAAAACTCTTACATCGGTTTTTTTCATTTAAAAATAGCAATTTTAATATTTAAAGTACTAATATATTAAATTCTATTACATCAAAATATAATTTAAGTCGACATATAGAATATTAATTATTTCATCTCTATATATTATTTATATTACTTCTAATTTATTATTGCAACAAAAAATGTCTAATTTACTGATAAGAAACAAAACATAATAAAGTATCTAAAGATATAAAAACATTAGATAATACTTAAAATTCATCTACTTATATTACGTACAGATCCTGCACAGTTTTGATATTATGTACATTTTGGCACATGTAATAGAGTAAAAAATTTACTAACAATAAGCATTGGAAATACGTATACGTATTTACAGAATGAAAACATAATACATTTGGAATATTTAGTTTTACGTAATTGAAATATCGAATTTATAATTGCATACTGTGTTATTATTTATTAACATATATATATATATATATATATATATATATATATATATTTCGTTACAAAAAAAAATGCTGCATCATACAGCATCTCTTATTTGGAACTTACATTTAGAAATCCGAAGGAACTAGAATTCAATAAATAAGGTTAATTAATATTGTAATATCTTTTTCTAAACTTACTATTTACTATAAAGTGTATAGTTGTACAGTCTGTTCGTTAAATAAACCAACATTACATATAATACTTTGACGTTGGGGAATTGACGTGAATTATTTGAATATTTGTAGAAAAAACACTGGCTAAATCTCAATTCAGTATACTGATGAATTTGCATGTTTGATTAAGAACAAATATGAATCTTATATCTACGATATTACAAAGTTGTATACAGACAAAAACTTTGAATCATCACGAAAAATATTAGTTAGACTATTGTAATCAGTATGACATACTGTTACTTAGCAAAAAACTTTAATAAAATTTTAGTAAATTAAAAAGTAGTAAAAAAAAGAATTAAATAAAATATTTATACATTTTATGTAATGTTAAAAATAAAAACAATTTAAATCGAAATAAGGCGTAGACTAAGAAAAATTGTATTCTCAACTTTAATTATACATCTATGATTTTATGTATCATTTGGATTGAATAATTCCTCTAAAAGTTTTTAGTAATATAGTAGTTTAATAGTACGCCATCGAAAATAAAGTGTGGTATGTAATCAAGCAACTTTGTGGGACACATCGTGTTTAGATAAAGCATATTTGAAACCCAAAAAAATGACTTCAAAACTTCGAAAATATTAAATATTTTTTCAGATTTTGTTAATGGGCATAGAAGTTATTTTTATTTTCATTATATTTTTGGACTGTCAGGTAATTATAGATAATTATAAAGAGGACAAGAATTTCTTTTACGAAAAAAATAAAATACAATAAGTTCAGTATTAATTTTACAATAAATAGTTATAGTATAATAATTATTATGCATTATATAATTTTTAAATATGCAAACGTTGATGTTTCAAAATGTTATTGATTGTATATTTGACAATGTTTTTATATTCTTATTTCCCTTGTATTATTATAGCTTTTATGAACTGTTTGAAAACTGCGTTGTTTGCAATTTTACATCGAGTATCTGTTTGAATTCTATATAATTATTATTTCTATTGTGTAACATTAGTGTTTTAATTAGTTAGAATGTTTATAATTTGATAACTTTTTATTCAAATAATAGTACATCTATACATTCAGTTATAATCTGAAACACATGTGAATTTATATACTAAAATTAAAAGTTTGATGTAAATCTCTAATGATTCGATAGTGATTCTGAACTCAATAAAATTGTAATTTTATGGATCAATATTTCTTTTTTAATTTCACTACTTTAATATCATGATCTTTATTTTTCAATATGAGAGTTTCATGTCATAGCTCTACTATTCTTTGTGACATCAATTATGTACAGTGCTTTTAATTTTCATTAAAAATTTTTATTATATATTCTTTTAATCATAAATATCCAAACATATGTTAGATATAATTTATAACGACTGCATATAAATATTTGAATTCATACTAACTTTCATTCAAAGCTAAATGTTTCCTATGATTCATTTCATTAATTACTGACAATAACTCAATATTGACTTAAATAGATTTATTTAAAAATATCAGTAAGTTATAACCCTTTACAAAACTTAAACTGATGTAGAATTGGTTATTTATTTACTTTCAGTTTTACTTTGAAAAATGAAAATCATGTTTCACAACTGTTTTATTTAACATATTTTAATTATATATTTTGTGACTACAAAATGATTACAATTAATGAGTTATTTTTCATATTTAAATAAGTAATAACATATATAACATAACATAAATTATTTAATTTGTACATACTTTTTTATAAAATTTATATTGATACATTTTCCACAAGATTTGTAAATATTAATAATGAAATTATAAAAAAAAATCTAGATTGGAATTCAAAATTTTATAGAAAGAATTAAAAATATAATTAATAATTTTAATGTAAACAGTGTTGATTCATTACTATAACTTACTATCTAGTTTTAGAATGTAGAATCATAGATGTACATAGATTGTACTGTTTTTTATTTAATTTTCATATAAATTTATATCATTAGAAACAACAATGATTTTAATGAATTAATAGTTTCATTATTAATATAATACATTTTACAAATATATTCAAATATGGTATATTAAGGAATGACGATATTTTGTATAAATTATAAATTCAATATAACTATTGGTTACATATCACATTAATTATGGATCAAATATCAACTATATAGATTTTGCAAAATAAATTTTTCAATGTATTTAATTCTTTATATTAACTATAAATTAGACAATCTTTAATAATGTTCCATTTTTAATTTGTTTATATTTAAATTGTTTACTTGGTTTTCTGTTTACCCAATATTTTGTATCACATTCAGAAAGTATTTTTTCAGATTTTATTACAACATCTTTACATTTAAAAAAAATTGCTCTCTCATCATTTACAATATTAATTTTTTCACTAAATCTTAGCAATCGCTTATTAACTTTACATAATAAAAGTTTTGAAGTAGTGAAAAGTTTTATTCCTGAAATTTTTTTGTCTTGGTTACAGTTTATTTCTTGATTATTTTCTAAAATTATTTCCCTGTAAAAAACAAAGGTATGATATACATTATGTAAAAATAAAAAAATAACTTACATTTCCAGTCTTTCATAAAGTTTTTTAGCTACAAACTCTTTGTGACATTCAAATAATTTATGATTAATATTTGGCCGATTTACATCATTTAAATACGTTCTTCCATTATCTACAATATATTAAAAATAAATTTAAATATATAAAAAAATATATTGTTTAAATCTTTTAGTTTTTAATTGTATATACTTATTTTGATAAGATTGTTTTTATCATTAAAAGCCAAATGTTTAAGGAAGTCTTGGTTAGCTGCTTCTTTAAAAGTAAGTAAATTAATATCATCTTCTGAACTTGATTCCATATTTTATTTGCTCAATCACTTTTTATAATCTGTAAATATTAATTGAAATTAAAAATATTATTAATGTAATTTGAAATGAAGTTTGAAATGATATTAAATACTTATATCACTTTTCAATTGATTATCGTTATATTTTTATATTATTTGTATAAAAAAATGGAAAATAATTGTTATTTAAAAAATTATTACATAACATATTGACATTTGCAATAGTTTAATAATAATTATTAAAAAATCAAATTCTAATCCATCCAAACAATTCAGAAATATTTATTGCCATTATTAAAGACAATACTAGTCACTAAATATGAATTGGTCTCTTTTATTTAATAATTATATTAGTCTTATGTTCTATATAAGAAAGAACCCATACTCTACTAAATTATACATTGATATATTTTTATATTTAATATGTATAATACTATCAAACAATAAATTAATAGGCTTTTAAAGTATAATCATAAGTTGCTGAATGTCGAAATCTAGATTTACTGAATAATTTTTACATAGTTCTATTTAAATAGTGAGTCACCGAGAACTTTTTTAGAAAATAATAAATGTTTTATAAATTATAACAATTTTTGATAAATGAAATTAATTCAATGTACTTTAAAAAAATTCATTTTTATATTAAAAATAATTTTAAAACCTTGACTCTCATTGTCAGTTTACTCAATAGTAGAAATATCAGTTATTTTATTTGAAAATGTAAATTTCTTACTTTAAACGTAGATTTATATTTATAATTTATTACAAATTTGTTAACAAAATAACATTTCAATATGATAATTTAAAGAATAAAATATCTTAAGTAAATTAATTAAAAACAAATTATTGTTTTCATTATTGAAAAATTATTTTATTAAACTTTTCATTCAAATACATATCAAAATACTATTACAAACTTTGTAATGTAGTGTGGCATGATTAGTGACACTAGTGGCATTGGTATGGCTGTCATCTGTTATAGGTAATATATTTCTTATACATAAAATAAATCAAGTACAAACCATGCATAAAAGGAAAATAATAATTGTTAGTTGTCTAATTTGAACATAAATAATTTGGTAAAGATAAGATTGTTTAAATAGGAACTTTTCATTCTAAAACCATCATTTAATTCAAGATACAAATTTAGGTGTAATTTTTCTTTTTTGCATAAGTTTTTTTACGATATTTACCAATTTCTGTAAATCTTATTAAGCGTATTCGTTCTTTTTATCTAGGTATGTTAATTTTATAACTGCACTGTTTATCATACATGTAAGTTTTAAGTATACAATTTGCCAACACCTATAAACGCACGTGTGTGCATGATTTAAATTTAAATATTGCATATAATTATATTTATTCAATAATCAAGTAATTAATAATTAATTTTTTTGTTAATTCTCTTTGGAGCATCCATATTTTCCATGAACTTCATTTTTAAATATCAACCAAAAATAATTTGCTATAATTGTTTTTTTTCTTTTTATATTAATAATTACACAACAGCAAATAAACTGTTAACTCTATAATAAATTCTTCAAAAAATCTTTGAAAATATCATTTTGTTATATTAAAATTTTATATTATGTTTTTTAACCTACACGAATGCATTTTACATCACAACAATTGTTATTCAATATTATTATTCTTCTCACATTCTAATCTTCTTATCCATCTCTACACTAACAGGGATTGAGACTAATATATCTTTCACAAAAATATAACTCGAGTACAAATATTACTTTTTCATCATAAAATAATATCTCAAGCTTTTTTCAAGGTGAAAAAATTGATATTAATTCATTTTAACAAAAAGTTGATTTTTGCTATTCAATTGTCTTCACCTTCAACTAATATTTGATTCCCATTTATTCAACTTACGATCTCGTAATAGATAAACATTTAAATATCATGTTACTACATTAATTTATATCAGATAGCTCATTTATTTTACAATTTTGAAAATGAAATTTCCTATTTAATATTATTTAATAATATTTAGATCTTAATTTACAAATAATTGAAAAAAATGATGTATTCATCATTTTGTAACGAATGTTTTAAAAATATGTAGTAAATTAAATTTTTTATCATTGCATAACACTTCGTATTAGTATTTATCATGTTTTAGACATCTTTTTTATGTCTCTTTAAAATTAAATATAAATTATTTACAATAATTAATTTTTTTATATATATTATTCTTTTTTTAAGAAATGTATTTTATTTTATTTTATTTAAAATTAAAAATTGTTTCAAATAACTGATATAATATTTAAATTGAATATTCCATAAAATTGTGACTCTGCCTGCGTGTGTTTATGTGTTTATGTGCATGCGTGCAATGAGTCATGTGCATTTAAAATGCATTTATTTAATCCTTATGAAGTTGCGAAAACAGATAAACTAGAAAACATCTGAAAAAGGTAAATTATAAATTTTTATGTAAATATTATCATTCTCTTACGTGTCCACTAATTAAACTAAATACATTATAATTTGTCAAGTTTAAGGACATTTTTTTTAAAAAAAAGATGAAAATGCATTATTTATTATTAAATTTTTACTCACCTTAAATATGTGCACAACTATTTATAATATTATGAAAACGTTTATTTATCATACTGTTCTAATATTTTTATCGATGTATTCTATCTAATATTTTTTTTCATTATTTTGTTTTTAATAAATTATAAAATTGAGTTTATAATAGATTCATTTTCATATTAGGGTCTAAAATAGTTTTGTTTGTTTTTTTTTCATGTCATATAAGAATTTGGCAAAAAATAAAAATTTTTTTGCTATTTTGTCCAAGGTATTTAAGTAGAATTCTATGTATAGAATTTAGTTACATTTTGAGCTCCCTGAAATGTTTTTATATCTTTCTGTATAAAATCTTTCATTTCATTCAACAAAACTAAAACTATACTAATGTTTTTACAAGGCTCGCATAGAAATATACAGATACAATTTGTATGTAATTTATTTTTATAATGTATGAATGCAAAAATAGCTAGTAGTCGTTTTAAGAAATGAAAAACTTCTTAAATTTTTTTTACGTGTTTTAAAATTATTTTTTAATTTCAAATCTTCCAATAATTAGCATTATTTTTCTGTATTTATCCCTTGTTTGATATTCCCAATTTTCCATAAATATATTTTACTTTTGTCTGAAGTACATATCTACGAATTCCCATGAATTCAATCCAAGAAATCGTTCATCTTTCATACACCTTTTACAGTTTGCAATTGCTTCTGTAATTTTCCATTGTATTTTTCCCCATATAATCCATATTGAGTCGAACTTGTACTATCCAATCACGTTATCAATAAGAAATTATTTTAATTCTGCGAGTTCCATATAAATTTCTTTACATATAGGTAAAATAGGTAAAACAGGTATAAATTTATAAATCCTTAATGTCATGGAACAATTAAAAAAGTTTTCCACATAGCATTAAACATTATACAATACTTTAATGTGATTTTCAAGTTAGATTGTCAATATTACGCCCGAGCAATGAACATGTTCCTTGTCACCAATATTATGTTTTATATAATAATTCTATTCTAAAATATAACATAACTGCAACGCAAGTTATTGTATTTTTTTATCTTTTTCGTTGCACCGTTACAAATGTGTTCTTTTGAAGATCATTAAATTAGTAATTAATTGAAAAGTGAAAATATATTTTACAATCTCAACATTTGTTCTACTTAAAATTTTGCAAATTTAAGTGTACATTATAGTTGTACTATTTAAAATTAAATTATTAAAAAGCTGCCTTCTATGTTCTATAGTATCTCATTTTGTTTCAAAATTAAATCTCTATAAAAATGGAAATGTTTTCTTTTTACAGTCATGTCTAGAAATATAATACCTAACTTTATATTAGTATTAAATACATCACATATTACTATTCTTATATGGAAATAATCATATCTAAATTTTTTAATATTTTAATTATTGAGCATGCGCAGTACATGAGAATTTAAATAATATATTTATTTTGAAAATATTAAAACATGTATCAATTATAATATTACTTATTAATTATTTGTTTGTATAAAAAATAAATTTCTTTGATATTTACTTTAAATTGTTGAAAATTTAGCTTAATACGAGAATTAATAATGAAGAGATTTAAAAAATACGAATAAAAGTAGTTATTTTTAGTTTAATATTCTCTTCTAATATACGTTTTAGAATAATGTTACACATGAATAAAGAAACGCTCGGGTTTAATTATTTTATCGATATTCAATTCGTTAGATTTTATAAACATCCGACAACGAGATCAGATTAAGTTAATCTTTTAAAATATGTATAAATTAACAAAATGTAACAATGATGGATGAAATTAAAAATTTGTGTTATTATGAAAATTTAAATATATTTATAAATATTTTATCGCCGAAGCAATAATAATAATTCTTTAGAAATATATAAATATGTAAATGTATGAATCTAGATTTTTGATCGTAAGTTTTTGGTTAACATTGTAGAGTATTAGCAGACGATCTGTAATGCAATAGTGACAAAAATGGTGACAAACGAAAAATTGATCTTTTCTAGAATTGTTCAACGTTTAGCAAGATCACTTGCTGCAATTCAAAATGCGCCATGGGGAAAGGTATTTCCTATTTATTTTATTTTTATTCTTAAAAATTTTTTATTTAAATGAATTTATTAAAATTTATAAAATGAAATAATATTTATTGTACTACACAATCCTTTGATTATTATCTATTTAATAAATCCAAGGATTTTGTATTCATATTTACTACTTTCATAGGTAAATTGGATATTTAAAAGATGTCCACAAGAATCAGCTGGAGTTTTTCGTTTAGATCAAAGAGGTCAAGATGCTATTATAGCTCTTGGAATTTACTTTCTTGAGTCAAATTTACAACATAAAGATAGAATATTACCTTATTTACTTCGACTTTTAAAAAGTTTACCAAAAGCTGTTTGGATGGATGAAACTATATGTACTATTTTAGGTTCAGTTCCTGTTGCTGAACACTTTAGCTTTTGTTTGAACACTATGTTAAGTGATATAGCTGGAAAGTGTAAATCAGCAAGAGAAGAAATTATTGTTACACAAATTGAGATTTTAACAGTACTGACAAATATTCTGAGAAGTTATGTTGATAAAAGCAATGAGAGGGGAATGCAAGCAAAATGTAAATAAAAATTCAAATTCAATACCCAGAGTTATATTTCTTTTAATAAATATTTTTGAAATATCGTTTAAACTATTTATATATTTCAGTGACAATGTGTAAATGTCTAGTTCCTACATTAATTGGTATAGCAAGATCAATGGGACGGTTTACAGATGAAGATCCATCATTGCTTTGCAGAATCTTTCCTTGTTCCGAAACACCAATATCAAGTTTTAAAACAAAAAGTGATTCTTTATCTCCTAAAAAGTATAACTTTTATAATTTTAGATCAATAATTCCACGTTCCTTAAGCAGTAATTTAAATCATAAATTAAGTAAGAATACCATGCAAGCTGCTTTTTTATCATACGATAAAAGTTCTCTAAAAGATTCTTCATTTAAATCTCAATTAACAATGATGTATGATCCATCATATTATATTTTTAATTGGCATGGATCATGTTTTAATCACTTTTCTCACATCTTCTACAATGAAAACTTTCAAGATAAAGTTGATTTACAATTTAATATTATTCATTTACAAAGTGTCCTTGCTTTAGCAAAAAAATTACTTACCAAAGATATGTTATCTTTTCTTGATAAGGAAGCTCAACAGGTATTTTCTTTAGTAAAATTAACATTATTTTTTAAAATATTTTCTTATAATTTTATTTAACCTTTCTTTTTATCATAGGTGTATTTATCAGGGCAATTACAATTTTTTCGATATCGTACTTTTAGTGAAACAGTAAATTTAGTAATTGTAGCACTCCTGCGTGAACTTCTTCAAGGTCATAATAATTTGCCAGTCCCATTTACAAAAGATGTACAAGAGTTTATGAAAATTCTTTTTCTTTCTGGCCAAACTGAATTACAATTGAAACAACAGCACAGCCTCAATGAACAAGACGATTTAGATACTGATTTTCGAACTGTCAATAGCTTTAAAATTAATGTTATGGCTAATTCAGCATGTGTAGATATCTTGGTTTGGGCTATTGGTGATGAAACTGGTAAGATAAACTATGTTTAATGTGATTATCTTGAAAGATTGTACTATATAGCCATAAAAAATGAAAATATGAATTATGTGAAATTTATTTATAATAATTATAGTATGCTTCATGCATTTAGTATAGATCTAAAGTAATTTTAAATAATATTTATACACTAATGACATATCATAAAAAATGAATGTTATGTTATTAATGATAAATATGAATAATTAAATAATTGATATAAAGCCTATAAAGCAATTAGTTTCAATATAAAAACTATTTCTATTGATTTAAACAAAATGAAAAATAAAATTTTAAGGAATTTCATGAATTTCAAATATCCAAGTAAAATATAGATATTTTAACATTTAAATTACATAATTGAATTCTATTATAATTTTGAATTATTTCAACTTATATCAATAAAATTAATTTACTATTTACTTTACATTATATCTTAATTAAAAATAAGTGTTTTAGAACAACAATGTTATTTATTTATTTTACTTAAATAATGACTCAATGTTTATAAAATATATTAGCTGTAGAGATTTTTTTTGAAAAATTTAGATATTACTTTTTAAATAAAAATATTTAAATATAAGAATTCAAGTAACATTCTTCAGAGATAATTTAATGTATATATATATATTTTTTTTTTTTGTTAAATTATAGTTTATTTAGTTTTTTTTTTAATTTTAATAACAAATCGTATAAATAATTTAATTATCCATGATCTATATAAAGCAAACATGTAGAATTTAAATCAAATTTATAAAACATCATTCTTGTTTAAAGGGTCAAATTTAAATGACTTATAAAAAGTTTTATTTTACCCATGATAATATTATAACTATACAATTTTACGATAATTTAATTTGGTTAGTGTTAGTCTAATTTTATATACAATACGCAAAAATGTACGCGTTCAATTAAATTAGAAAATGCGCGTCATTAAATAACATAGATAGAAAAGATGCAATCTTACGACCAGCATTGAAACTGACCTAAAATATATAAATTACAAACGAAAAAGATAAAAATACGGTAATTGTCAATTAAAAGGATAAACTGGGAATAAAATAAAATAAAGTGGAGGATAAACTTGCTAACTAAATTATTAATTAGCAAATTAATTTGAATATTTTTATTCCCGAGTGTAATTATGTGGTAAGCACCAAACATAGGATGTCTTACTAATTGTAGAAATTTTATTAATTACATAAATATTATTGTTTTATATTATTATTGACTGTTGCAATGAGTATCTACTTAATTCACACTTGTATATTATGTTAATTGTGGTTTAATGTGTGTTCGATAATGCGAGAACATTTTTTCTTTTTGTCAGTGCAATAAAACATCTGGCAAGTAACATCGTAAAATTTGTATTTGGATTTCAAAACTTCGCTTGCTCAAAATTATCAAGCACTAGTGTCATAAAACATCTGAAAAAACAATACCATAAACACGGGAAAACCTATAGTTAAAATTATAATTAATTATTATTAACCTATATTTAAAACCTATGAATGAAAATAAAAATGAAAAAGAAATATAAATATGCCACGAAACAATGAATATCGATTTTTTAAATTATTATTACAAATATTTTTATATTGAATACAATTTTAGAAACGTCATAAATACATAGAATTGACGCATAACAAATTAATAATTAAAATGGTTAACTTTAAAAAAATTATATTTTTCTCCCGCGTTCGTAATTTGTTAATTTTGAAATTTAAAAGAATTAGTCATATAATTTTATTATTATTATTACCTAATAGAATTTGTTATATTAGGATACAATATACTAATTGTAAATTTTATACATGATACATTTAGTGCTCTAGAAGTGAATGATAAGCACGACTTATTAATTGATATTGTTTTGTAGTTCTCATTCGACAAATAGTCTTAGCTTTAATTTTAAGCAATTAAAATCATATCATCTTGGTCTTCAATGACGCAATAAGTTTATTTTTAATTATTGTTTACCACTTTTTAAAATCATTTTTAAAGAAATTAACATTAAGTTAAATCTGCTTCGTAAACATTCTTCTGTATGTGCATCTTGATATATATTTACGCCGTTAACAATATAAAACAAACTATTTAGTTATAGATAGACTAGCATGCATGCTTTAAATAAATTTTTCTTAACAGTATTTTCAAAATCTTTACAAAAATGTTCTAAATATATCACATTAATGGTATTTCTTAATTCATTTAAGATATGGATTGTAATTTTTAATTTATATTTTATAAATTTGTATTAAAGTTAAATTAAGCATAAATGTGATTGATAATATCTTACTAACTTGTACTAGAATAAAAGTATATGTATAATATTCCCTAATAAAAGTTTCAAATAGTATTTTTGCTCTTTCAAATACTATTTATTTCATTACAAGGTAAGAATGTTAAATTTTATTGGTATTCTTTTTTTTTTAAAGCAATGCCCTTCATTTATTAAAAACTTTTTAAATTATTTTAATTAATTTAATAAGCAGTTATACAATAATTATATATACTGTTTAAATTGTTTACTATGATTTTGTAAGTTTTTTATTTATAAATGCATTGTTCTAAATTTGTAATAATATTCCCAAGTCATTAGACATCAGGAAACTGGCTATTAGAGCCGAAAAACCAAGTCGTTAAGCATCTGGCAAAAACATGTCATTCAAAATTCTGAAAAACAAGTCATAAAAATATAAAACTCCACCACTACATGTATTACATATAGAGGAGCAGAAGGTCGTACCTTCTACCTGTACATGCAACGCACCTTACCGCTCTGTGGCAATTGCAATACAAAATTTAAGAAACGAAAACATTCAACCAACAACTAAAAATCATTATAATATAACCAATGCAATTATCGCAATAAACTACAACAAATAACAAAGCTATTTATTATTGAATACATGCAGTATCCTGTCGACTTGCCAGCAATCCTCCTTTCAACCATCTGGGAGTTTACACCTAATTTTATATATTTGGCGCTCTTCGCCCGGTACTCTATTTTTAGACATGTATATGTTCAAGATTGCGAGATCTTTTTCAATGCAATAAAATATGTGACTATCATTAAATTGTCATTAGTCTTCAGTAAAGCTCCTGCTTAGATTATAACAAGCTAGAATGTCATTAAGCTCGATCATAAAGCTTGAAGAACACTTTCTCATTGACGTCGGAGACCCGAAAATTAGTTTTGCTAGTTACTTCGCATTGCCAATGCGTTCATTGTTTGACGCGTTAATGACCTAACTGTTTACTGGCACGACCGCGTCGAATCTGCTTGTACTAGAACAATTGGAAGTGCCAGATGTACGTACAATACTTCACCATAAAAAACGTTTCCTACTTTTCACTACAACCCAAAATTCCAGCTTGTACTACATCGGATATCGACATCGCGACATCCCCTTCCTTCAGACACTTTTCCGATTTTAGCATATTCAAGACTAAAGCCGGAAGAAAGTGGAAATGAAGGCGTGATTGATCAACCATGCCGCCCAAAGTCGCACTCTGATTAGATACAAGAAAGACAAAGAGGTAACTATTGGAACCAGGTCAGTTAACCATTTCAGAAGGACAATTACCATGTACCATCACTTATTCTAACGAAAAGTCACGACTATTACCGAGAAGGAGGAACAGGGAAAAAGTCAGCCACAACTGAGTCTTATACAAATAGCTTTCATTTCTGTGATTCATGACCACAGATACGTATAATCTCGCCAAGCAAATAAAGCACAAGGAATGAGATTTCCGTCATCTCTGTAAAGAGAGACAAGGAAAATTCAAGTGCAAGCAGTTCGTACAAGGAAGCTTCACTTTCACGCCCGTGAGGAGAAACAAGGAATATCACACTACAACTTCAAGTAAGTCTGCATTAGTGTTAATTCTTCGCTTCACGGTCCATTTAGGAAAGGACCAAAAAGCAATTAGTGTCCAGAAGTTTCCCGCGCATGCTCACTACGCAAGACCAGCAATTCGCGCCATTCAGTGGCGCACATTTCCTCTAACCTCTATCTTAAGCTCGTGTTCACTCACACGGCTTATTATTAGAGGCAGCTGCCACACGTGCCAAAACCACGAAGCAGACAAGAATTGTAGTATTCGTTCAGAGCACAACAACCAGTCATAATCTCTCAAGTAATAGTATTCGAAAGGTGACAATAGTTTTATAACCTATCTCTGTTCACAGTAAATCATTATCTCACCCGTTACGTCCAGAGGATTAGGAATTTCACCGCCGTATGGTTGTCCAATTGTTACGGATCGAAGCAGTTGAAAACGTAATACAAAAGTGGGAGAGGTATGAGCTCCCGGACAGTTATTTTATAAATACAAGCCAGCGAATTCGAGAAATTCTTCTACGCTGAAAACTCGAATGTACGGTTACAATTCCGAAAAGTAATACTGATGAACCTTCCAAAGCTATGCCCTATTGATGTCACGACAAATATCGGTATAGCAAGAGATACCGGATCGCTACCGGCATCGCAAACTACTACGAGAATATGTAAGGGCTGTGATTGATGCGCAGCGCTCAGTGCTAGTAATAATTACGCCACGACGGGATCACTATTCAAACTGCAAGCTTCGTACTACAGTCAACATTCACTGTAGTGATACACGTACGTACTAATCAAGCAATAAGCAATCTAACAATCCAATAGTGACGCCACACGATCAAAATCGGTTAAATAAACATAAACTCATAAAGCGCCAGTACAAACATAATCGAGAGTGAAATTATCGAAATTATTAGACGGCTTCGGTATGACATCAGCGGCTCTCACGCACCGACACTAAAGCAGTAGCGACCCGGTCTCCTTCAGAAAACTTCGATACTACAGCGGCGGCTTTCACATACTACATCAGTAGTGGCCCTTACGCACCGGAACTAAAGCAGCAGCGACTCGGTGTCCCATAGAAAGCTTCGGTACGACAGCAGCGGCTGTCGCATACTACTGTAGCGGCACTTCTCGGGGGGAAGGAGTCACGGAGAGTATACACACTCTCCTCAGCACGAAACACAATTGAAGAAACTTCATCAAATTATTCATTCGCTCCATCATTCATCCACTTTATGCCCAGTAACTATTTATTATATTATTTTATTTAATAAAGGAAAGCCAAGAAACACTGCGTGTAGAATTCAATAATTGCATTGCCCGTTCCACTTGCCAGTAACGCCTCCACCCAATATCAACAAGAGGTTTTTCGTCTGATTCCAGACACCAATAGAAGTGTACCACAATGCAACATCTTTTATTGAGAAGCATAGAGGTCATTTATAACATCATCAAGATTTATAATCCCTAAATTGGGAATAAATTGAAAAGTAAATGGAATAAAGAACAATGAGAATTACATGTGTCAATTATTGAATCAGTACATTAACCCCTCCACTTGCCCACGCCTTCCTCTACACAACGTGTATTGGGTTTCTTAGTTAATTCTACACATTTGGTTCATCAAGCCAGATTATATATTTCAATTAACAGAATGATATATATTTCATAATAACAGAATGAAAATATAAGTAAATTATTTAAACTAAATTAGGATTTAGCAAAAATGACTATTTACTTTTACATAAAATCATTTATAGCCAATAATATATCTAGAGTAAACTGATTATGCATAACATTTATTATAATCGAAATATAAAACTATAAATAAATTACCTTAATTCATATTTTATGTTTTTATTTACAAAATATATAGGGGCAGATAGCTTATGCAGTCGTTTGACTGAAAAAATACATTCAAATTATAATCAGAAATTAGTGCTGGCACATATGCCCCTATTAATGGTTTGTCTTAATGGATTGGGTAAACTAGCTAAAAAATTTCCAAATATTGCTAGCACTTCAATTTATAATCTCCGCGATTTTTTGGTAACCCCTTCACCAATCCTTCTCAAGCTACGTAAATACTATAACCAGTCGTCAAAAATTAACTTAAAAACAACAGGTAATTGACAGAGAATTTGTATATAAAATTAACAAAATTTATATATTTATTTTTAATCTATCTTAAAACAATTACTCTATAGAACAGTTAACCCCCACAGAAATGGCATTTGAGACTCTAAGAGATGCAGCTATTAAAAATCTCTGTGTTGCTCTCGAGGCTGCATATTGTGTGGATTCGGATTGCGTACTTGCATTAATTGCAAGTGTTTCAAATAGATTATTCACAGCTGAGAAAAATGATCGGTAAATTTATTTATAAATTTATATATTTATATAAACTAAATCATATATTCGTAATTTATTTAAAATATTCACAAAATAATTTAATGTCGATAAAATGACAATTTTTTAAGATTAATTTTAAAGTAAATTTTGGGACTTTAATAGCCTCAGTAATAAATTAGTCTACCCTTCGGTGAATATTTTTTATTAATTTTATACCATAAAACAAAATGCGACAGTAAAAGACAGAAGAAAAAAAATGATATGATAGCTAAATAGTAATTAAAGATCTTCAGGAGTATTTATAATATATTAATACGTTTATGGCACTCTGTCCTGTTGATACAAAGTCAAAGATTAGTATATGGGGAAAAATGTCATGGTAGTGTATAACATATATCAAAACATTGTATTGTCAAAATTCAAAAAACTTTTTAAGAAGTATAGAGTTATTGGAAGATAGGTATAGACTTATATTAATGATAAGAGATACTGGTGTTGATCAATATTTCATTTTCTACAAATCAGAAATTGTTAAAAAATAAAAAACAAAAGATTTTTTCGATAATCGAAGCTTTAGTACTTATTACAATACATGTTTTTTTAACTGAAGGTAGTAAAGAAAATTAAATCGAAATAATCAGTAATTCATTCGTATAATTCCAAACATTTATTTAACACAAGGATTATTTAAAGCCATGAATAGAGAACAAAAAATTTGTGAGCAACACGCATTTTAGGAATGTTTATTTCTAACTGTGGCTGCAACGCAAATACACTAATAATCATTTCTAAATAATTATATCACTCTCACCTTTAATTACAATTAGATATATAAAATTAGTTACATTCCTAATCCTAACTTCTATAATCATCTTATCGTGGTTTTCAAATTCGTTGTACCTATTGTAGTATGTAACTTATTTTAACGTTATTATTTTTTAGTCAAAACTATATTTTAATATGAATACTGCGCTAGTAGGCTCCAGAACAAAAACACAACACAATTAAAGATGGAAGTTTGACAAAATGTATATTTCACTTTCATCTTAGCAGGGTGTGTTAGAAATATTAATAAGTACGAGTATATTCTATATTATTTATACACTTTAAATAATAGTATAATCAATAAGTTTGTTGTAAAATTAAAGCTAATATTACAAAATTTTTTAATAATGTCCATGATATTAAATTCAAAGTATATAAAAATATATTACGATTGACCCAATATTTTCTGGTTGTAAAGTAACTGGAAACACAAGTACTATTACTATAAGTAGTGATTAATTTTTTTAATTAATATATTTTATAAGTAAAATGATACATTTGGATATGATTTTAAATTTAATTTTAATTCAATTTTTTTTTTAATTAAAGAATTTCTTATTTTGTCATTATAACTTTTATGTATATTTATCTTCTTTTTTTTGTATAAACTTGTACATGGCGATTTATTTCGTTAAACAATACATATGAAAAAAAAATTTATGACAAAGCTTGTCTCTCGATTAGACCATTTTTAAACCGTCATACAAGCGTATTCAATTCGTCCTTATCTATACATAACAATTTATATTTACATTTATAATAGTTGAGGAACATATAATTCTTTATTTTATAGAATTGTATATTTATAAAAAATCTAAAAAAGAATCTTTTTAAACACAAATATGAATACAATTATATAAAGACAACAAAAAATTAAATGTTCGGAACATTGTATTACAAATACAATAAAAAAGTTTCTTACAAAATATAAAAATGTCATAATTCTAGATATCGAAATTTCAGGTACTTTCGTAATGTCATATTTTCAAAAATTGTAAAAACAATTCATTTCATTGTAGATATAGACGCATAGAATAAATATTTAAAAAATTAATTTTAATATTTACTCTAATAATAAAATGAATGTGTTTCATTATTAACTATAATAAGCTGCTTATGAAAAGATTTCAGTTCTATCTAGAGGATTCCATCTATGGTGATCCGTAGATACTTTTAATATTTCTCAAAATTTCATTAGCACTAGTTTAATTATGCCCTTTCGAGAGTGAAAAGAAAATCTCTCGAATTATATTTACTTTATAAAAATATAAAATACTTTATAAAATTATAAAACTTTGAACAGCTGGTAAAGAGAATTATCGAACGGATACAAAAAACTAAGAAAGTCTCTCCAAGCTTTCATGAGACTCGTACATCTGTGAACTCGTAAACAGCCATTTATGGCCTTTTGACCTGCAGATGTAGAAAATTGTTTTTAATGCAATAAACGACCCTTGCGAGTTCACAAACAAAAACCCGGCTAGCATGTTTACAAGAGTATATTTTGAGGATTAAAATATTTCAAAACAATTAAATGAAAAACATTTCTTAAAATCCATTGCAATCCGAAACTCGGTACGTGCGACGTTCGGCAATCTGCGTCGCACGTGTGCCTTCAATGCCACCAGCAACCATGCATTGTTGTCAAGTACGACAAATGTTGCTGCTTGCATAGGCCAAGCGAAGGTGACCAAAAATTACCCCCGCCACGATGAGTCCCGGAGAGGGGCAAATCTTTCACTTCACTCATAAGCCTAATTTCGTAGGAAGTGGGAAAAGGGCGTGCACATTCATCATGCCGCCGAAAAGCGGCGCGCCCTGATTGGAAAACTAAGACCAGAAGCTCCTTGAATGGGAACTCATGACAAGAGGCCTTAAAGATGGGAACAAGGGAGCGAAAAGTCGCTGTCCACGGGGAATTATTGGAATACGCAGTCCGCGTGGGCAGCCAATGGTTGTGGACAGCCAATCCTTTTTTCCGCAAAGCAAGTCACAAAGGGCTAGAGTAAGCTGTCTAGAGAAAGGTCAAGTAATAGAAATTAATTGTCCATGGAAGCCAAGTCTGAAATTCACTCAACGCAGAAGTAAGTGTTAGTAATTCAAAGCAAGAATATTGCACCTTGATCAGATCAAGAATAGTGCATCCTGGTGAGTATAAGCGTCACGCTGCACATAATTTGTGTCCCTCTCACCGGCTGATCAGATCAAGAATAGTGTATCCTTGTGAGTATAAGAGTCACGCCGCACATAATTTGTGTCCCTTTACATAAAAACAATATTTATTAACTTGTAAAGGTCTTAGCTGCAGAATTGGATCTTAATTAATAAATCATTTTAAATTTTCATTGAAAATGACTATAGCTTTGTACTACTTGTAGGAGTCCTTTCTTTTTTATATTTATTTTCCAAATTTCATCCAATACTTATTTTAAAGACTTTATTAATTGTTAATGAATTATTTACATTTTGCCAAGAACATAAAAATCTATTGACATTCATAATTTATGCAAAAGATAGAATTGTAATGAAGAAATAAATATATAATTTCTAATATTTATATAATTATAAATTTATTTAAAAAAACTCTGTGTATCAACTATGAAAACATATCATTGAAAGTCGAAAATTATTCCTTTTTTTGGGCTACTCCAAATTGTTTTTCTTCTATCAATCTTTAAATGAATGTATTAAGAAGAATAATAATTGCGTTTCTATATTACTTATAACCTTATATATTTGCTTATAGGCAAAGAAAATAAGAAATATATTTACTACTCAGATTTATTACTTTATCTTTGTATATAGATTCATCGTTTTCTTTCAATCTTGTCTAACTTTTTACATATTTGATGCATATATAGCTTGGGGAATAACATGTTCTATAATGCCTTTATCAGTACAATTGTTTCAATTGCTTTATCACAAGTGTATATTATTTTCAACGCATTTCACTTATAATTTTGTGTTGAAAAATACTGATCAGTGATTCTTTAATCAGTTAATTTAAAAATTATACCTTAAATTTTTCTATAAAATTCTATAAAATTTCATTAATTCTTATCTATATCATATAACCAACAATTGTGGAGAATACATTTTATTGTATAGAGTATTTTAAAATATATATATATATATATTATATTTCCCATAGGAAAATATTTTCTAATTTAATAATCTATATGTAAAAAAATAGTACTCTTATTAAAAATTGTTTTTAAAATATAAAGTAGTATTATTTAAAAATACATATTGCTGAATTTTAAAAAATAGTAAATCAATATAATTACATGAATTTTAATATATTTCTGACAAGAACATTTGATAACTCAATCGAAGAAGACGGAGGAATAACAAATAGCTTAATTGCTACAAATATTGTTATTATGATGGGTCATGTAGCTATTGCTCTAAAAAAAAAATCTAAATCCACTCGGCCTATATTACAATTTTTTCAACAACGTTTTTGCCATACTCCCAGTCGCTCGGATTTGGATACACTCATTGTTGATCAATTAGGGTGCATGATAATCGCCAAATGTGAATCAACGGTATGTTACACATAAATAACTTAACATAACTTTATTCTAATTTATATTATCAGTATGTGAACAAATTATTTTAAATATTTTATTCTTTATGAAATTATATTGGTACAAATTATATTTTTAATTACCTTAATGATGTCACATATTTTTTTAAATAATATCTGAGCATGTTTTCTGTTAATCGTTATAAAATTTTAAAAGTATAATTTTACGTGTTTAAATAATCAGATTGTTTTTATGCAGAATTTATATTATTTCATACAATATGAAGAATGTTTTTATAATTATCTCTCGCATTTGAACAATGAGCCGATAAAAAACAAAGATTTATTCCAGCAAAATTAAAAAAAAATAATAAATATTAATATTTGTGTAAATATATATAATATAAACTTAGACATAAACCTATTGCGTGCTTATTTATTGTAAGATAGATACGTGTTTAGAATAGAAATATGAAACTGGACTAACACATGTTTCTAATACTCTTATCATGTAAATAGTTATTATGTTACTTCAAGAACGTTGTTCGAGAATGCGAGAACATTTTTTCCTTTTTTCTTTTTTTGTCAGTGCAATAAAACATCTGCCAGGTAATATCGTAAAATTTGTATTTGGATTTCAAACTTTGCTTGCCAAATTTTCTCACGCATTAGTGTCATAAAACATCTAAAAAAACAATACCATAAACACGGAAAAACCTATAGTTTTGACATCTGCATTTTCGTTCCGCTCGGCAACTACATTAAGCATGACTGCAAGCGGACCCTCCTTCTCCTTCCCGCTGTCAAGAAGTTGCTTGCTGTCACCAGATGTGTCAGCGAATCCCCCCCTCACCGCGGTCTACATGCTGATACATGCCTATCAGAGTCCGAAGACGAATCAACGATTAGTCTTTGTAAGTAGTATCGACTATAATACTTATACATATATTGAGATTCAGAGTATTACACCAACAAGCACTAAGGACGAAGAAGCTATTCTCAAAACGACAGTGCGGAATAAATTCCACTACGCGTCGTCAAGTTTCGCACCCGCCAAGGGCATCCCACTTTGTAATCCTCACCTTAGTTCAAGTTCGGAAGCTTACGAAAGAGAGCAAAACCCAACGCAAGTGTAGACAATCCAGTTTCACGCCACTTGCGATATCTTTCAATCATAAAGCCGCATTCATAACCTCAATCATACACGTGCTCGTTCAAAAGACGCTAGTGTCGATGAACGAAACTTCGCGCCATTCGCCATTCATATTCAATAATCAAGCTGCATAGATTATTGTACAGTTGTCTCCGCAACACATCACTTCAATCAAGAATTTAGTTACAGTATACTACATGCTATCGCATGCGGCAGCAGCAATGGGAGATCTGCGCATCATGAAGACCCAGAGACGACTAGGCCCTTAATTAACTTCGAACCCAAAAGAGGCGCTGCCCTCGCACTATATGGGAGGAGTCTCTGATTGGACAGACAATAAGGGAAGGGGTTCAAGAAAAATTCATGGTCAGAAAATGTATTTAAGGGGCGCAATTTTAAAAATCTTAAAAATCTGAAATATGCAGACCCAGACTATCTGACACCTAGACCAGTAGATATAGTCATTGGAGCAGATGCATACGGACAAGTAATCCTGCCCAACATAATTAAGGCAGCACCGTCCATGCCAATAGCACAATTGTCCATATTTGGATGGTTGGTACTTGGTTCAGTCAATTAAAGTAAGGCCGTGAGCACAGTATCATTCCACACATCAATTGTCAAAGTGGAAGAAATCTTGCAAGAATTATTAACAAGATTTTGGGTGCAAGAAGAGGTTCCGAGGAGCATCGAACACTTCCTTAACCCTGATGAACAATGGTGCGAGGTTCATTTCATTGAAACTCACTCGCGAGAATCATTAGGAACGTACATCGTTCAACTTCCAATGAAGAAGTCAATTGAACTCCTCGGTCACTCTTACAACACAGCACATCGATGCCTACAAAGCCTGATGAGTCGCTTCGAAAAGAACGAAGTTTATCGCCAATCCTACCATGAATTCATGAAGACATATATCAACCTTAAACACATTGTAAGAGCTTCCCCAGCCTCCCACGACAAACCTCACTACTACCTGCCTCATCATGGAGTATTAAAACCAGACAGCTCCACCACCAAATCGCGTGTGGTATTCAACGGCTCAAGTCCAACTACATCCGGCTATTCCATCAACGACCTAATGCATACGGGAGCCAAATTAAACTCTGAAATTTCAGATGTGCTGATCTGGATACGCAAACATCGTTATCTATTCTCTACAGATATAACAAAAATGTATAGGCAGATCAAGGTCCATTCGGATGATTCGGATCTACAGAGAATCTTGTGGATAGATGAACAAAACAACATAGTGCCATACTGCTTGACTACAGTCACATATGGTACACGAGCCGTCCCATTCTTAGCAGTAAGAACGCTGCTACAATTAGTAGAGAACGAAGGAGAAAAATACTCCTTAGCGTTACCTTCCATCACTCATGGAAGATATGTCGACGATATTTTTGGAGGTGCTGATACGCCTCAAGACCTTGCTGAAACCGCGCTACAACTTCAAAACCTCTGTAAGACAGGCGGTTTCCCGTTAGCAAAATGGCATTCGACGCACAAGGACGTCCTCACAATCACACGGGCAGAACTCAGGCAGGAGCCAGAAAACATTATATTCGATGACTGCACGACCAAAATTCTCGGATTACAATGGAATCCACAACATGATGATTTCACATTTACAACAATAGTGTCCATGGACACCAATCAGGTAACAAAGCGAATAATCCTGTCAAATATCGCTAAAATCTTTGATCCACTAGGTTTCGTCTCATCCGTGGTAATAAGAGCCAAAATGATGATGCAAGAATTATGGCTACACACCATCAAATGGGACGTTCCACTGCCAGATCACATCTCAAACAGATGAAGCACCATCAAAAAGGATCTGTCAGAGTTAAACAATATCAAGGTACCACGATGGTTCAACACAGAGAAGACATCAACTGTCGAACTGCATGGTTTCTCTGATGCTTCTCAATTGGCCATGTCAGCAGTCATCTACCTTGTCGTTCACAATCCAGCCTACAAGGTTGCCTTCGTATGCTCCAAGACGAAGGTAGCCCCATTTATTATTATAATATCCCTTCCACTTGCGACCTGTCATTGCTACCACACAACACCTGTGGTCTCTGAATTATCAACGGCATCAAATTGTATCCGTCGAACCGGCCTTGATAAAACAAGTCGGAACGACGGGTGCATTTTGTACAAACGTCCAGTTTCAAACATAAATTTCTTTTATATAAATATGTTTGAACTTTAATTATTGCATTTTTTATTAGTTTTAATAAAATAGTAATATATATAACATCTGGGATTTATTGCTGATAAAGTATGCAGTGAATTTTGTGCATAAAGGAGCAATTTATAAATAGTTGTACAATTTTACTAATAAACAATTTGTCAATGATTGTAATTACTTATTTACAGATCCAATCGGTAAGTCAATCGATTAAGACTTAATTTCTAACCATTAAATTTTGTTGTATGTCAATAATAATCACGAAAATTTCATAAAACATCTGGAAAACTCCGGTGAAAGGTGCCTTTGCTTTACAGCGCAGTGGAACTAATGGGTTTATTGCCGGGAAAAATCCTTAAGTAGATTCTGAACGAATATCACTCGATACATGAAATATCGAGTACAAAACATTTCTTAAATTCATTGCAACCAAAAATCCCGAACGTGCGACAACTTGTACTAGCCGCACATGCGCTTACACCCATTAAGACAATACTTGCATTGTTTTCTGTCTGAATCACATCTGATCAGTCGCGTTCGAAAATGACCACGCTCATAAGGTCCCTTCATCTAGTCAAGTCCCAGAGAAGGGAGAAGCAGTCAAGAAGAGATGACCGATAGCAAAAACTCCCCGCTTCCGACACTTCTCTGATTAGCATATTCGGAAATGAACTCAGAAGGAAGTGGAGACGAAGGCGTGCATAATCTATTGTGCTGTCTTAAAACGAACTCTGATTGGCTAATTAAGGGAAGGAGTCCCTAGTGGAGTGGGACCAGTGAAGCATTAAGATAGAAAATGTAATGTGCCGACTCTTACTCTTTACTCTTTCCAAATACTTCTCACAGTGGAAGGATAAGTCATGACTTACTCTTACGGAGGAGGACCGGAGATACAAGTCGTTTTAGCTAGCTGAGTTATTAATAAGTTCTTTATACGATCGTGAACTAGTATACAGTTGAATTGATCTCATTAAGACTAGTATGCGTAGGACCTGATCTCTTGTTATCTCACTGGAAATAAGGAAGAACTTAAGAGTTGCGATATTACAAGGGAACTTCACAACAAGCCAACGAAGAGAGACTGGAAAATCACGATACACTGCAAGTAAGTCCTTACAGCTAGTACTCATTCTTGATTTCTCGGCTTATGTAGAAGACGGACGGATAAAGTCCAACTACGGAAGCTTCCCGGACATACTCTTGAACAAGACCAGCTATAAACGCCACATTGGCTTCTCAATCCCTCCAACTGCAAGTTGTTCCCGCCACAGATGGCGCACAGCTTCGCATAACCTCCATCTCGGCTCTCTTACGACCGATATTTAAAGGCAACTACACACGTGTTAAGATAAACACAATGGCATTCCAGTGTTCGATCAGAGCACTAGAATCACCATAACCTCTTAGTGATAATATTCAATAGATTATAACCTGCCTCATTCATAGTAAATATATTTCAACACCACAAGATTATCAAGAAATAATAAAGACATGTGTTAATTATTAATCAGTGCATTCACCCTTTACTTGACCGGCAACCCCACACAATATCTAGTGGGTTTTTTTGTTCTAACTTAATTATTGCACGTTTGGCTGACGAGTTAGATTGTGGAATTATTTTCTGAACATTAATAAAGTTAGTGTACGAAGAAATCATTTTAACAAAAGTACA